GCTCTCTAATCAGCTCTCACACATAAAAATACCAGCTTTTGGTCTTCCATGGATGCTCAAGCTTACTGAAATGTCGAATTGACCGATGAATCTACTTCTCAAATCGAAAAATGACTTCCAATAAAGTCTTTTGTGGGTCATCTATTCCTGACTTTATGATTGGCTCACTCGGACGGTTTAGATTATTTGAGTTAAGAAAGCTACATAAATTTCCAAGTCGAACCGTTCAACTTCCCCTCGGCGACTCTTGCCTTACATCCTTAAACATAGTTTATTTTCGTGGCAAACTTGAAAATTAGTTGAGCTTTTGATTACTTAGAAATTAATGATCAAGCCTCTCTTTAAGAAACGATTCAAAACTTTAATTCAACGGATGTATTGAGCAATCAAGCAGTTTTCGGTGTTGCTGAGCTCAGTTTGACGTCGCTAATAGCTGTTTTGTTTTTGATTCACAAATGGCCTCAGGGTTTTCATCTGCACGCAACCGATATGCGAGAAATGCGCACCGACCATTAAATCGTTGTATCGTATTATAATCCGGAAACCACCCCCGCTTATAACCGTCACGCACTAGAGGGCAAGTCTTCTGGTGTAAGGCTGCGAGTTACCTGAAAATGGCAAGTCATATATCAACGACATCTTGATCATACTTCCTAGGATTGAGACTACAGTCCGGGGGAGAACGCGGGAGGGGGGGGGGATAAATGAAGAGAGTTCGATGATACAACCTTCTTTATCTCAAGCAACGTGTACCGACACCCACGCACGCATGCACAGTTCATCAAAGTGTATGATTACCAAGCACTATCAAAATACCCTAAGGCAAAAAATCGACGTGAATTACACGACTCATTAAATATTCATACAACTGGTCAAAACAAGAGTCGATCGTATTTTTGCGCTTCTGTTTAAAAGATGGGTATTATGATAAAGATGACAAGTTTAGTCTTCCAGGGTTTCCTTGTCTCACTAATATCAAACTTTAAGGAGAGTATAGAGAGTCACCCATCCGATCCCAGCGTGTTTAATACCGACTGAGTGGAGTGTTCCTGTCTCGATAGGTTTTGTCATTTAAATTTTCAAGTGAACGATTTCAAGTGTTTTTCTTCTAGATGCCTGGTATGCCTCGTGGACGGAGTTCGATTTAGAGATTGTTATTATCGGTGAAATAACTTATGGCCATTAATTCTTACGATAACTATGACAATGAATTATAAAACTAATAATACAGACAGAGACTGAAAAATTGCAGAATATTCAATAATGTTTAGATTTCTATTAAACAATAATATCAACAATGATAATTAAAGTTAGGATAACAGAGTAACATTTTTGACTAATTTTTATTAAGCCTTTGAAAGTTTGTTGTTTTTACAAAGCTGGCCAACGAAAGCACAAAAACTCGTAGTAGAAAATTCGGCAATTCAGATAAATTTTACGCTGAGACATCCATGTAGTGTATTGTTCGTATAACGTGGGAAGATTGCTCAATAATTCAAAGAACGTCAGTTAGGATACCATTAGCGCAGAACCATTAGGAAATTAACAATAATAAGCTAGGTTATTAAAAAAGACATTCTCGAAAATAAAAGTAAGTGTCGTAAGTTACAGCTTAGTTAATTCACATAAGTCACATCGCATTTCTGAAGCTACGTTATACCGTTATACCACTATTTCATCGGAATTAATTATGGAGCATTACACTGCCAATGTCCTTCGTAAGAATACAGTATTTTTGCGCCTTTGTCAGCTTGGGGTCTGGATATTGCGAGGGTTCGCTCCAAGTCTCTGTTTCCGTTGTATTTGTTGTTTCAGTGAAATCTACTTCCGCTTATCCACTTGTAATAATGAATAAGTTTTTTCGGCTTAGATTTAAGTATAACAAACGTCTGCTCGCAAACAACAACTGTCATGACTGATATAAGGTTGATAAGTTTTTGTTCTTCTGTTTTTTTTTTATTTTTTTTATCTCAATCCCTGAAACCTTTAACTGACAGTTAACTTGCAACTTTTTATCATTTTCTTAAGTCTTGGTTTTTCATATAGGACTTGTACAAGCGTGGGTGTTTATTTGTACTTACCCGTTTGAAAGTCTTCTCTTTTTTTATATCGGTATCGGTAACATGCTATGAAATTAACTGAAACCGTCTCAACTTTTTGGGTTTGCTTATGTGGTAAACCATATACTAAACTGGACGCAAAGTAAAAGTTTTAGAGAGTGTTTACTGAAGAAATACGATTATCACGTTTGAACTTCATCTTCACCCGACCGTAATGAAGCAAATATACTGTTTTTTCCGCAGTTTTTGGCATGTCTCATGCGTGGGTGCGAATTGATTTTATAAAGAGTAAAAAAACGAGTTTTAGGTGTATGTAGTCTCGTGGCGTGGGCGATGATATGTTGAAGATACATTTCCCGTTTTTTGAGGTGGAACTTGTTACAGTGTTATTGATTCTTCGTGTTTTTTTTTCCGCTTTTGTAAGAGATTTTTATAGAAGGATTATAAGAATTAAAAGTTTACAGGTGGGTTGTCGAGGAGTTCTACAGTGCTATTATGAATATTTGTTATTCATAACCTTAGCCTATATACAGTTTATCAAGCGCCACATGTAGGTTTTCAAAGCAGACAGGCTTACGAATTAAAACACGTCACAGATATTGTGTTACAAGTTGAACTTCGTTACTTTCGGTTATATCACTCTGAGTCGAGAGGTACTTCGGAAGTGCTCGGGCCGTTGTCGTCGTGGCCCCACGAGTTCTGCTTACGTAGGTATTTTCATAGACAAACCCTTTTGTTAATTTTCCATGAATTAGTATTTTTCGAAATGTTTTCAAGTGCTCGGAAATAGTCGTAAGTTCCCCGAGATCTGCCCACGTAAATGTTACCGCGAAACATTTCCGCAACGACATGACGCAAGTAACACGAAGAGCAAAGCAAAACCCGGCTTTCGGGAGTCTTCGGTAGCACTCGGCTTCTGTCGGCTGCTTCCGGTTTTTAGCTTCATTAGAACTTCATGATGATAATTGATCGCTTATTGATGATGATTGATCGCGTGAAATTTGAAAACGCGTTTTGTTCTCCATGTTTAAAAAAATACACTTTAAAAGCGTTTAAGTCTAATTAGGTGTATTCATTAGATCATAACGTGCGCTGGTTTTTTTCAATCAAGTCAGATCTATTTGTCACGTCACGCAATTCGAATTTGCATATAATATTGCACACCGAAAAAACTTGATGTCACTCAACGGACTTGAAATTCCCCATGGATTTGGAATTTTTTCCCTCTTTGATACATCAAACAAGAAACAAATATTTCGTATTTGGATTTTACACGGCTGGGTTAGTTCAGGGAGGATCATTGTTGAATTCTTGACGTTCCGAGGGGTCACCAAGTTCTAGCTATTTTTAAACATATTTTTCCTTGTTTGTTTAGAGAATTGGTGTTTACATTTGGTTTCTGCTTTTCCTAATTGATTTATGAAACGCAACTGGATGCCCTATAACTGCTTAAGTTAAGTTTGGTTTGCTTATTTCCTATTGAACACAATATTGTTCTATCTTCCTCTTTCTTCGGAAACCACGGCAAAGTAATTTGCATAAACCGATTTTTCTCGAAGCTCCACTTCACAATATCTTAAGGCGTCGGCACCGTTCGGGATTCTCCTTCGTAAAGGCTCGTCATTACGTTCTAGAAAGTTCAAAATATAATTTGTAAAATCGTTTATTATAAAGGCGGTAAATTCAACGGAGTAAGCTCAGAGTAGGCGGTTCTATCATGTGCTTGTGGTCTCCGTAGTCTTTAAACTTTATCAGGAGTACGCGCATCAGAAATAGAGACATTTTCAAACACGAAGACACGAGGTAATTAATATTCTATTTTACATTGCGTCAATGTAGGCTACTACGCGGTCAACTGTCCTCGTCCTTTTAAGTCAAGAGAGGCGATGGGAATGGTTTTGCGGAGAGCAGATCTTGTTTTTTTACTCAAAAGTGTTAACGTGTGATCAGTGTTTAGTTATCAATGTTAACGTCATCGAACTTTGGTTGGATAGGAACTATGTTTATTAGAAACATGTCAAGTAGAAGGTTCGATTCCTCTTCTCCTTCTTTCGGCTGATTCAGCATGTTCCTTTTCCTGCATTACTCTTGTCGTTTCCCACTCGTTTGATTAACTTCGACCGCATGTAATTGATCTTCTGGCTTGTAAAACATATTTATAAGACACAATTTGTTAAGGTCTTTGCACTATAAACGGAAACAATTCCAAAAGTTTTGACGAACTTGCTTTCGTAAAACATGGACTATAACTTGTGTCTAAACATGCAATTTGGAACAGATCATAAAATAGAATTTAGATTAACATGACCACAATCTGCTGGAGGCAAAATTGATTGTATAGATTTGACCATAATAGGTCGCTTGTGGTTGTTAATGGAAGAGGTGACCACGACAACCTTTCTTCCCTCTTTTTTTACAGTCATATCGTAAGTCAGAATAAATTAATTAATGAAAGTGCAGAAAATGATCCAGTTTTTTTCGTGAACAAACTGTTTTGCATTCTCTTTCACAAATAAGTTCGCTCGATTGTGTGGCCCCTCGGTGAAATTATTTTGAACTTCCTTTCATCATTTACATAATAATTAAACAATATACCTCCATGTTTCTCTCGCACTGTTAATCAACTGCGAAAATTGAAAGCAATCAGCTCGGTTCGTAAACATGAACGTGCTTTTGCACTCGTGGCATGGAGACGATTGTACTATTTAAACCTTTACACCCTAACATCAGCATCCATACTCTCACCACTGTTCCCTTTACATTTCCTAAGGTGCTGACAAGGAGAATTGGCGAGCAATTCAGAGCCTCTTTTGTTGACGATAATTTACTTAATTCTCGTGACTTAATGTGTGATTCAGGACTGATATTGTAAGGAGAAACTAGATGCTGGTCACTCTCTTAGCAATTAAGGGGCTAAAGTTCATACGGATATTCCTCCTTATGGTATTTTTGTTTTTCTGCTATAGATATTTCACCAACATAAACCGACTTCAATACCCTTCCGAGGTTATGCAGCATACACTAACGTTTCAAAAGAGCTTTGATAATGCTTTTCATGGAAAGAATTGTTCAGACACTCTGTGTGTTCTGCCACAATGCGTGAACTTTAAGCTGCAAACTAGGCATATCAATACACTTCAAAAAGACAAACAAAGAAATTGCACCAGCAGGGACATGGCTCCTTCGGACGTAGCTGTGAACATCCGAAAGAATAATGATGGAGACAAGCTGATGTCCCTGAATCAAGCCATTCTGGACCACGATGCAGAAAAACAGCTGCTAGATGACATTCAGGAGTTTGAGAGGATCCTTGAGGGACAGATGGCTGACTTTGGACCTCATCCTGGTTTTAACCGAGATTTTTATAAGATTGATCAGCAGAACTCTTCGCCATCTTACACCGCTCGAGAGGATTGTCAGGTTTCCACACAGACACACCCGCTGCCCTCTTACTCTTCAAAAGACGATGTTCAGTTTCTTCGACAGATACCAGCCGAGGAGGCAAGAAAACACCAACGAGAGCCCCCTGAGTACGACACCTTATTTGATAGGGGAGGTGCTACTCTCAAAGAGCCCTCTAATCCCAAAATGATACATAGTACAGAATCTAATCAAGACCCTATCTTTCTTAATTATTATGAACAGTTTACGTCAACAGATGAATCTGCTCACCGGCCTATGAAAGAATCCCAAGGAAGGAGTACTGCCAAACGGACTCGGACAGATCCCGAGACGATTACCTTGCCCGTATCAACTACTAACGTGGAAAAGACTGCCTGCCACATCCTGGGCACAACAGAACAACTTACTTGTATGCAGCGCAAACCATCCCAAAGGGTATTTGGAATCCTTTCGCAGATATTACATATGTTTGAAAAACCCAGGTCAGCAGAAGTTGAAGCAATTTTCGTTCACGTCCTTCAAAAGGCACTCAGAGACATACAAAGTGCAGTCAAGCGGGATAGCATTAAGTTTGTCTACTTTAGACCTAGAACCAGCTTTTAATTACTAAAAAGTTCTATATTGATTGGGTTATGTACATTGAATCAACGCAGTTTGACTTGCATCTTTAACGATGGCTTTAGACACTTGGCCCATATTTCAGTGTTTTTCTCGATCAGTTGCTTGTCACAGGATCATGGTCTCAATTTAAGGGTAATACCCTTTTATCTTGGTCAGGAAAACACAATTTTATTAATTGATTGACTCACTTTGATCGGTGAGGGGGGGGGAGCTCAAGGAAGAGTAGGAATGACTGTAACCCCCTCCCTCAAACAAAAATTTTAGGGGGCAAGGAAAAGCCCCCGCAAAAGTTTCTAAGCAGGAATTGCTGAACGTATTAAATTTGTTATATATCACAGGCTGCCAATGCTGGTTGAAAACGAAGATCTTTTGTTTGCTTCAAATAAAGCTTTATCGTCCGTCAGGTTAGGTTTACGTAGTGACAATGTGGAAATGATCTAGGCTTTAGAGACCAGTGTTGTTCTTCCTCATTTAGATTTTTTATTCTAGGTTTTTCGACTGTAGCAGGTCGATTTTAGCTGTGTACAGTACCTGGAAGATTTTTTTCTGTCGGTGAGGACCTTAGCGCCAACGGACTTAACAATTTTTAATCGGGAATTAACGATCCTTTTATTTCATTCATTAATAAAGTTGACTTTTCTCGTCAGTAAAGGGCTATTGTGTTTATATGATAAACAAAATTATACATGGTTGCTTTTAGATATGAAATTTCTCTTCTCGTGTTCAACTCGACAACTCGACAACCCGAGTTGAACACTCGAAGAGAAATTTCATATCTACAAGCACCCATGTATTATTTTCTATTTATCATAGAAGTGATCTACGTGACATCTATACGTCGAACTAACTCAGCCAAAACATATTCCCCTTCCTTTAAGTTATGTAACGTATTTAGAAAAATAATTGAATAACAATTGAACAATAAAGTTCCAAACGAAGCCAAATTTGGCAAATTGCACGGTAGGAAGCAGCGTGAATATTTCATGAGCAGAATAATTGAACAGTTAACGTTTCAGTAAGCATATACATTTATTTAGTGGAAAGGGAAGCATTACGCGTTATTTAGCTGAATGAACGGCGTTTCAAGCGTTAGCGACCCATGTTGAGCCTTTGCGATGTCTCTCTGCTGCCGCATTCTCGCTGGCGATGGAAAAGGGCAAAAGCGGAAATCGTCCAAGATATGCAAGATGCACGAGTTGCATGAAGAGATTATTTTGAAACAATCTTATGCATTTTTTTTGGTGAACTAAAAATAACATTTCCCGGGCACGTAACTCAGCTGGAGATAGATGCGTCTACTGTGAGGCATTGTACAATTTTTTTAGCTAGCTTTGAAATCATTTTTTTATAGTTGTTAGTAGTTTCAGCCCTTGTCAATTTTTAGCAGCAAACGGGGAGGTGGTCAACAACATAGCAGTCAAACGATCCATTTCACGCAGTGGTCCATTTCACGCAGTGACACACTCGGCTGCGCCTTGGGAGCTCAGTGCTTTTTAGTTCTTAACACATTTTGCGAAATCTGCGATCTATCACAAAACAGATGCACGGCAAGATAGAATCCATTTGTTACTTATCTACTTGTTACTACTGAGCATTTTCAAGTGAAAAAGGATATTGCTTTTACTTCGTAAAAATCGTTGATTTTAGGTGCACACGGTAGATACATCTTTAATCTTCAAAAAGCCATGCGTTTATTTAGAAGTAAGCACTTCTAAAATTCAGAAAAGTGAGTTTTACAAAGCCTAGTGGACCAATTTTGGCCCCTTCTTCTCTAATTTAGAGCTCTTGAAAGCCGATCATGACATCTTATTTTTTGGTAAAATAATCAGAGCAAGTACTTTAATCCAAGCAAGTACTTTACAACGCATGTAAAACGTGGACGTCATCTCCTCATTAGGATGTAAGCAGGAAGCGTAAGCACTAAGCGTATCGTATACTGTCATGATAACTTTCCGATTGCTCCAGACTGCATAATATAGTAGATTTCCATAAAAGTTCCACGGACTAAGAAGCTTAATGTGGTATTATTCACCGCCCTTGACAGCTAACTGCTACCATTAAAACATCGCTTCACGCAAGAAATTTTATACCTGAATGACATTCAGCGCAGGTCAAATGGTAAAATCAGATCCAAAGTTGTGCCAAAATTATGAATCGTGCCAAAAATATAAATCGCCAGTGATAAAAGTCAATCGTTCATGGTAGCAACAAATCTTAACTTAAAATCAATTTAGGTGACGTTCTAGAATGGTCAATCGTTGGTGTTGAACCTCAGTCCCTTGTGTTGATGTACTAAACGCCGTTGTAAGACTCCAATTGAAATCGCTAATTAAATATCGCTGATGTTCTGTGGAAGGTCAATAGCGCCAATGTCAGTCGTTGTTTTTAGTATCCTGATCAATATTGTTTTGGAATAATAGTGAAATATCAAATCCCTTATTCAACGGTTTGGCATACAATTCTGGCGTAAATTATGCTCAATGCTCGAACGTTCCTTCGCAAAAAAAATATATTTTGTCGAATGTCAAAAATATTTTGGGATTGTCCCTTGTCGCCTCCCGTATGGATGGGTAAAGAGGGAAACTTTGTCCGCAATTAACGCCGGATATTATAGTGTAAGGGATTTTGCGGACACTTATTATACAAAAACGCCGGCTTCTTTGAAGTTTGAAAGAGTCAGACAAAATTTTGACAAGTGAAAATATCCCAGTCGCATTTTTTCGCTTTATGACTTCATTTTCCAGTTGCTGTTCTTTTTTTTGTTTTGTTTTGTTTTATTTTTGGCGTCTTATCATGTTTTTCTATTATTTTAAGATTTCGTAATATTTTAGGGAGGTAAAACGGGTGAATAGATTATGAGACTCCATACAAAGCTGAGTGGGAGGGGAAGCGACTGAAGGCGTTATCATGTAACAGAAAATAAACAAAAGATAAAAACTAAAACGCCCTAGAAAAACAAAAATCTGATGAAAGTTGCTTTTTATTAACTTATTAGGGCGGAGTAAAGGTGGGGAAAATTAGTCCATCATCAACATTTGCAGATTCCCTCCATTTTCACCTCTTATATACAGTTTACGTTTGTCATTCTTTCGGGTTAATCATATTGGGAAAACGTTCATGTTTTGGTGAAAAGTTTTTGCTTATTTTTGCCGATCTTCCTCTGCGCTTACTAATGGTAAAACATATCCTCAAATTGTGTTTCTATGCCTCCCAATTCAAAATCAGTTCGATTCGTCTGGCAGCTATCCATCTCAACTGCGTGGCTTGAACTTGGCGGATAACAATAATACGACCTCATCAAGCAGCGAAATGCCACAAACGAAAGGGTAGGCGGGACTACAAGTTCCACAAGTTCCGTAGAGTACAGCACTGATCTTATATTGAATGATGTGATCTTTTTGTTCTTGATCAACAGGTCGTAAAATTCAACTTGATAAAAGAAGGAAACGAAATCATTTCTCAGTGCGAAGGACAGAAAATAATCAGAAGTAAAACGATAGTTTAATACGGATAGATAAACAATATGTTCGATTTCTTAAAATAGTTTCATCTCTCGAGGAAGAGCTCTACGATTTAATCCCTACCCTTTTGAAGGGGAATTATCACAATACTCGTAAAAAAGTATTGGCACTTACGCAAATGTGTACATATTTGGTGTCAAGAGACGTTTTATTTTGAAAACTTGAGCTATAATGATAAACACATTTAGGAAATAAAAGAGTAAAGAAGCAAAGTAGTGGAAAAGAGGTGTGTTTCGAACTTCACTGTATAAACCGTCGGTTAGTTTTGATATTTTTTTATCTACTGTAACTAAAAGTCTGTTGACACCGATCCCAGTCGCATTGGAAACGATGAGCCGCTCAAAATCAACAGGAAGTCGTTCAATAAGTGACACTGTTTGTCACACAAGACATGTACTCATTCGACAATTACGTCACGTTACTGACCTTTCTAGAAAACTGTGGGTCTAGAGAATTCTATGAAAAAGTAGATATATACCATGAAACTCAGAGGGAAATTCAAAGCAAGGAGCGAGGGGGTACTGTGGTGTACCTGGAGAAAGAAGAAATAAGGTGTATTTGCTGTGCCAACGATATTTTGGGAAACTAAGGTAATTATTCTTTCTATGTATGTCACAACGAATTAGGAGTCTGGTGTATTAAATAAGATTCGTTATCTCGGCGTTGCCAAAGGGGCAAAGAGTAAATGAACTCTATTCAAGTTCTGACGAAGGGCCATCGGTCTAAACGTGAGCCGTTTAGAAATTCTTTATGATGGTCAATTCACACCATCAATTTAGCTGAGAAGACCAAATTATGTCTATTCAAGCGAACTCTACGACTTCTTAAAGTCGATCTTACCCGCAGGAGAGCCCGCTGATAATAATATGTTATTTCTCAGAGACTGAAAACAAATGAACAAAATAAAAAGGCGTCAAAATTCCGATTTATTCTTGCTTAGTATTCTTGCGCAATGTTTTGTTTTCTCTAAAAACTGAAAGGGATTATTTGTGATTGACACATGTGTACTTTTGAATGAAACAACGGAGCTACGTTTGGCAAGGACTGTCACGACAAAGTTTGTTTCAAAAACAGTCAGAGAGTATTATTAACTCTCATCGGCGATTAAGTAATGTACGAAGATTTACCTCTGTTCGGTAAGTAAATGGCAAGGAAAGTAATTAAAAGGAAATTCGAATGATTTCTTTTGAAGTTGTGAGAGTTTGCTCGTTTTTTTGCTGCAATGGTGTGTGTAAATCGGGTCTTTCCTCCACAAAAACTAAATTCGAATGAGACACTTCAATTAGACACAAGGGGATTTATGCAGCTTTTTCTAATTTAATTGCTTCAGTTTCTGTTGTGCAATTTACGGTACAAATGTCCAAATTGAACAGACTTGGGAAGACTTACCGAAAGCGTATATTTATTGTAGAACTGAAAACTTCGCTCGCTCTTTTACTTCGAACAAATTGTTTGAGGGAATTCAGATATAAAATGAGTGAAAGTTTCATCGATTAATTCAATGGTGACCAAACGAATACCTTAAAGGGCATGTAAACCCAAAAATACATGTTTTTCTCATACTATGTTAAAAGTGGCGTAGAGAACGAATCTGAAATTCGTTTTGTCCAGTTCGACTTATTTTAGGAGAAAATCGGCATTTTCAACTGAAATTCTATTTCTGGTAAAAACAATAGCGAGAGTCGTGACGCAAGCGGTGGAACTGAAATATTGCGCAACACATATTCCCTAGCAGAACTGGTGTGGTAGCTCGTGTAAGTAGCGGTAGTTCGAAGATGTTTTTCAGAAGATAGCGACTCGAATGCCCTAAGCTTAGTATATGACGGCGATGGGGATGGTCTAGAATCTTTAGGAAAGTCTGGGCCACGTCCTTAACAATATGAGCTGCGTAGGGTTCACCGAAGCGATCCGCAAGAACACAGTGTTGACAGCGATGCGACCTCCTCGGAAACTCAGACTGGTATCTAATTTACTGTGTGATTTACTTGTATTTGATATGAAAATCCAATAAAGCAAGGGCACAATCTAAAAGAATGCAACAGAAATTTTTTAAACCCGCTGAGCTTCCGAGGGTGTTTTGTATAAAATTGTCAAAGGTGCGAGTGTGGAACTTGTCAACCAATGCCGACAACTCGTGAAAGTGTTTGTTGTACGGAAATCGGGCAATTGTGGCAAAAAGTAGAGAAACGAGGGTCTGAAACCCAGATAAGTTGTATCACTGAGTATCCAGGTTTTTAGTCAATTTGCCTTGATTTCTGGGTGCTAGAGACGGCCTATTACACGTACAGGCAGCAGTAAGGCACAGAGAATCACACCGGAAACGAGTAAGCTAAATGTTTTCCGTTTCATCTGTTTCGTTACATTTTGAGATCGATTTGTTTGAGTTGTTTCTGTCATTGATTTAATAATACAGTACTACAGCTAGCTGTTTATAGTTCCGAATAATTTGCTTCTGGTAGGGCCTGAATTGTCGGTACAACACCAGGAAGACAAATGACTGCTACAAACAACAGAATGTTCGAACGGCTCGACGAAATCGGCTATTTTTATTTGAACAAGTTTCACAAATTGTGCTTCAAATTTGCGTCATTTGGAAATATTTGCGTTATATGCTCAGTTTTGTTTGAATCAGTACAAAACTGGATTACACAACGCTTTACCATTATGAAAAAACTGAGTATATTGAAGCAAACTGTAAGTAAAAAAATCGTGACGAGACCGGCAAACAACGGCTGTGGAAAAGACTCCGTGTCTCACGCGATTATTAAACGAAACTTTGTAGGTTCCACCCGTGACGTCACAAGAAAGATGGCGCCATTCAAAATGGTGAATGTTTCGAATTTGGAAGAGCTTTTTCAAAGTGAAAATGGACTTTTGAGAAAAAACGAATGGCACCTTTGGTGTACTTGATATATTTACTAAACATCTATGAGAAAAGAAAATGAACGTTTTTTGGGTTTACATGCCCTTTAAGTTTTGACTTTCTAGGTACTTTTCGTGAAGGATTGAAATTAATTACAAACGGTTTTTAGGCCACCTATCAACCAATTTAATGACACTTTTGCTTATACAAATTCATTTCGAAACCAAAAAAGAAACTTCCCAAGTGCATCCATAACTCGATATACGCACAGCTAAAAGCATGAGCAAATTCTTTAATAACAGAGCGACAACAAGGATGTGTGGGAAGAAGCATTTTATTGTGATAGTGTTTTGGTTTTGGTCAATTCCCAATTAACAACTATGTACTTTATTCCACAGGTTGAACAAATTTAAGAACAACAATTAAAACGGAATTTTACCTTTAAATGTTGTTAATGACCAATTGGTGACTTTTTTTGTTCCCAGTGAATGTCTTTCGGCTAAAATTTGCTGCAGCTAGTCTTCCGACAAATTTGCGAAACGTGCAACTTGCGAGTCGTTTTCGGCTTAATTTTTTGTTGCTTGTTGGATCAGGACCTAAAAGGTCGATGCCGATAGAAAAATTGGGCAGTTCTTCGCTGGTTTCTTCCATATTTCAAAGAGAAAGAAAACTGCACCGCAGCTTAACAGGACAGAAACTCTGAAGCCAGGTCAAAAAAATGCACACGTCACGTCAGATGAGTCATCTTATTTACGCACGGGCGTGCGTAAATATAGATTTTGTTAATAGCGGCAAGCACGTGTGCTAAGTTATAATTTTTTTTTAAATTGATGTCATGCATTAAAAAAGAACTTAATCCAAAAGGAGCTCACCTGGAAAAGAAAGACCCCTTATTCCATTGATGCATATCTGATGCATTTGATGACAAGGTACAAATTTCTCGCAGCAGTAAGACTGCATTCCTGACTGGCTCACTGATATAGTGTTACACAAGTGTAGCGTAAATTTCGGCTTGAGGGCACTGAAGTCACCTAATTTTCTGGAACGTGATCGCGAACGTGAGACTTCGGAATGATGACAAATATTTGTTTCTATGCACTTTGTACATACTTCTTTGACGCAGCACGTCTCATTGAATTCGCAAAAATTGCATGAAAGACAGGTATGGATGAAAGGACAGCAGGAAAAGAACTCTATTCAAGTTCCGACGAAGGGCCATTGGTCGAAACGTAAGCCGTTTAGAAATTCTTTATGATGGTCAATTCGCACCATCAATTTAGCTGATAAGACCAAATTATGTCTATTCAAGCGAACTCTACGACTTCTTAAAGTCGATCTTACCCGCAGGAGAGCCCGCTGATAATAATATGTTGTTTCTCTGAGACTGAAAACAAATGAACAAAATAAAAAGGCGTCAAAATTCCGATTTATTCTTGCTTAGTATTCTTGCGCAATGTTTTGTTTTCTCTAAAAACTGAAAGGGATTATTTGTGATTGACACATGTGTACTTTTGAATGAAACAACGGAGCTACGTTTGGCAAGGACTGTCACGACAAAGTTTGTTTCAAAAACAGTCAGAGAGTATTATTAACTCTCATCGACGATTGATTAATGTACGAAGATTTACCTCTGTTCGGTAAGCAAATGGCAAGGGAAGTAATTATAAGGAAATCAAATTTTTTCTTTTGAAGTTGTGAGAGTTTGCTCGTTTTTTTGCTGCAACGGTGTGTGTAAATCGGGTCTTTTCTTCACAAAAACTAAATTCGACTGAGCCGTTTAGAAATTCTTTATGATGGTCAATTCGCACTATCAATTTAGCTGATAAGACCAAATTATGTCTATTCAAGCGAACTCTACGACTTCTTAAAGTCGATCTTACCCGCAGGAAAGCCCGCTGATAATAATATGTTGTTTCCCTGAGACTGAAATCAAAGTTACAAAAAAAAGGCGCCATAATTCCGATTTATTCTTGCTTAGTATTCTTTTGCAATGTTTTGTTTTCTCTAAAAACTGAAAGGGATTATTTGTGATTAACACATGTGCACTTTTGAATGAAACAACGGAGCTACGTTTGGCAATTTCGCTCTGACGAAGGGCTAACGCTCGAAATGTCAGCTTTTTTACCCTTTACGGTGGCTAATTTACGTTTTCAACCCAGCTGTTAACACTAAATTACCTGCTATACTCTCCCACCGATGCAGCACCACAGTTTCTTTAGAAACATACCCCTTTACGTTTGGCAAGGACTGTCACGACAAAGTTTTTCTCAAAAACAGTCAGAAAGTATTATTAACTCTCATCGACGATTAATTAATGTACGAAGATCATGATTTACCTCTGTTCGGTAGGTAAATGGCAAGGAAAGTGATTAAAAGGAAATTCGATTTTTTTCTTTTGAAGTTGTGAGAGTTTGTTCTTTTTTTTTGCTGCAATGGTGTGTGTAAATCGGGTCTTTCCTCCACAAAAACTAAATTCGAATGAGACACTTCAATTAGACACAAGGGGATTTATGCAGCTCTTTTTAATTTAATTGCTTCAGTTTCTGCTTTGCAATTTACGGTACAAATGTCCAAATTGAACAGACTTGGAAAGACTTACCGAAAGCGTATATTTGTTGTAGAACTGAAAACTTCGCTCGCTCTTTTACTTCGAACAAATTGTTTGAGGGAATTCACAGTGACTCTCTTTACCCAAGAGCATCGATATAAACTTGAAAAATGTCAAGAAACTTTACGAATTCGATTAGCATACCGTTCAGGGGCAGCGACAGAACCTTAATTCACATCATGCTGAAGGAAACCGGAATTAGAGATCCGGCAGTGTGAACGGCATGCCTTTCTCAAGAATCAACCCATCCAAAATATTATTTTAGATTTGATTCCCATTTGATTCAATCTTTATGAGATTTGAGATTTCAGTAAATCAATCAACAAGAGTAACGTTTTTTTCCTGTTACAGATATTTTACGACATGAACAGACTTCCGCATATGGCGCCTGTCATGCGTAATGCCCCAACATTTCGAGGGAGTCTTGACTATGATGTTCACGGAAAAAATTGTGCAGACATCTTCTGTGTCCTGCCACAATGCGTGAACTTTAAGTTGCGAACCAGGCATGTCAGCACATCTCGAAAAGACAAACCTGACAGTCAGGCCTGTGGGGCTTCGGCTGACACGACTGCGAACATCTTGCAGAACAGTAATAATGATAGCAATGTAGCGTCCTTAGGTCGAGCCATTCTGGATCATGATGCAGAGAAACAGCTCCTGGATGAATTAGAAGAGTATGAGAGGTTTTTGGAACGACAGGTAGCTGATATGGCCCCACAGCCTGGTTTCAGTGGTTGTTTTGGGATTGAAAAGCAGACAACCTCGTTTCCCCTTTACAACCCAAAAGAGGATTGTCAAGTTCCTCGACAGACAGATTCGTTGCACTGTTACAGCCCAAAAAGGGATGGCCAGACTCCCGGCGAGACAGCGAGAAACCATCAACCTTATTCCCGCGATTACGGCGCAAAATTTGAGGGGAGGAGATCTACCTTTATGAAACCTTCTAATTCCGCGGTTAGGCTGAATAAGGAATCTGACGAAGATCCTTTCTTTCCAAGTTTCTATGAGCAGTTTGCATCAATAGATCAATTTACTGTTCCAGTAAAAAGGTCAGGGGACATTCATGCTGCTAAACGCACGCGGAGAGATTCCTCTATGACGAAAACCATGCCAGTACCAGCCACCATCGTGCGGGAGAAGACTGCTTGCCACTTCTCGAGCGCCTCAGAGCAATTTCTTGGCACACATTCCGACCCTAGCCGAATGGTGTTTGGAATCCTCGCGCAGATATTGCATATGTTTGAAAAACCCATGTCTGCTGAAGCTGAAACATTTTTTGTCCATGTTCTTCAAAAGGCACTCAGAGAGATACAGAATGTAAAGTCACGAGAGAGCATCAAGTGAGTTTACTATAGACCCCGCGGCAAGAGTTTGTAATATGAAGTTGTAGATTACTGATATATTTTCATTGTTCTTGATGAGATTGGAGACTCCGGTTCGATCTGTACCAATGTGTCAATTTTTTTCGTTCGCGAAATCTTGAAAATATTTTTTGTAAATTGTAAAAAGTGTTGCATTAAATTATATTGAATAGATAAAAAAGCAGATTCAAGGCTATTATACTTCAAATTCAAGTTGTACAAAACTTGATATCCTAATGAAAATGTTTTTCGGTAAACAGATATTTCGGGTTTAGCTCACCAATCAAGAAATCGGTCGTTATTGATGTTATGGTTCAACGGGAAAAAGGAGACAGTTCTTCCACTAGCAATGCAAAGTAATTTGCATATCAGACATAGTTTGAAGCTACACTGGTTTGCAGATTTAATGAATGTAACCGAAGAAGTTACAATTCATAGACCCAACGTTTCGACACTCCTGTCTAGTGCCTTCATCAGGGGTGATCTAAACGCTGCAACAAGAGGTCCTTTTATATGATCACTAATTAGCGGCCTTTTTTCTGACGAGGTGTAAATAGGCGTCAGGAAGCAGACCGCCATCGTCACGATTTAAAGGAGCGTGGGCGGAGTTAATGTGCCAAGCCTCCAAACAAAGGCGCTGGTGGTAACGCCGATTAGTGGTGATAATTTTAGAATTATCCCACCCAATTGTATGGTTGGTTAGGCAAGTATGCTCTGATAAAGCTGAATTTTCCTTTTTGTGAAGAAAAACCGCTTTTTGGTGCTCTTTTAACCGTGTACCAAACTGGCGTTTGGTCTGTCCGATGTATTCGTTGTCACAGTCATTGCAAGGAATAGAATAAATGGCGTCGGTTCGTTGTTCTTTCGTGACAGGATCCTTAGGTTTGGCGAAAATATGCCCCAAAGTCTGAAAAGGTTTTTGAGCAACTTTAACGTTGTGGCTATTCAAAATTCTCTTGATGGGTTCAGTAACACCCTGTATGTAAGGAATAACAGCAAAACCAGTCGCTGGTTCCCTTTCATCAAGAGCGTTACTATTTGTAACTGGTTTTTGGCAGTTACGGAGAAAAGTTTTTGTATAGCCATTTGCCTTTAGGACATTGGAAACATATTTCCTCTCCTCAGCCTTCGAATCGAGTGATGATGGTAGACAATCAGCCCTCCTAAGTAAAGTTTTGGCTACAGACTTCTTATGGCAAATAGAATGGTGAGAATCGAAAGCGAGGTATTTGTCGGTGTGGGTGGGTTTACGGTAGACACTTGTCTCTAAATTACCCTGAACCCCTCTGGACACATTTAAATCAAGAAAGGGCAAATGTCTATCCTTTTCACGTTCAAGGGTGAATTGGATCGACGGCTCTACTGAATTCAAATGCGATAAGAGGCGCTCCGCTTCATTTCCGGATACCGCAGAAATAACATCATCGACATATCGTTTCCAGAAAAAGGGTTTAACCGGTGAAGTGGCTAAGGCCCTTTGTTCCACGTCTTCCATTACCATGTTAGCAATGACAGCAGAAACAGGCGAACCTATAGCTGTACCAAAAACTTGTTGATAGTATGTGCCGTTATATGTGAATTGCGTGGTTTTGAGGCAAAAAGACAGCAGATGAATAATATCCTCCACAGGCAAAGAAGTTCTTTGTCCTAGGGAAGCATCTTCTCTGAGTCTTTCCTCCGCAACCTTAACGGCAAGATCAACTGGGATTTTAGTGAAGAGCGAAACAACGTCGAAAGATACTAATTCTTCACAAGCGTCCAGAGTTTTATCTCTTATGAAATCCGTAAATTCGCAGGAATTTTTGACAGTGTAATCAGTATTCCCAACAACAGGCGACAAAATTCTCGCAAGATAACCAGAAATTGCATAAGTCGGAGAATTAACAAAAGAGACAATGGGTCTCAAAGGAATTCCCGGTTTATGAATTTTAGGTAAGCCATAAAAACGTGGACATAAGCCGTCACTAATGTATAACATTTTGTACGTAGAGTCACTAATTCCGCCAGCTTTTTTCAAATCAAGCAACATTTTGTTTAACTTTCTTTGAGTTTTACTGGCAGGATCAGAGTTTAAGACAGCGTACGTACTCTTGTCATTGAGCAGAGACAAAGCTTTGTCGTGATATTGCTGTTTGTCCATAACCACAACACAATTACCCTTGTCAGCAGATAATACGAGCCTGTCCGGATCCTTTTTGAGAGTTATAAGCGCATTGAAAACATCCTTTTGAATGTTTTTGGGAGGAGGTTTAGCACGCCTGAGTATGCTACTTACTTCTGCTCTTACCAAATGCCTACGATCGTCGTCGAGTTGAGAGATACTCTCCTCAACAGCGGCGACAATTTCGGCGGTCGGTATTTTGCGAGGAGCAATAGCAAACTTTAGACCCTTCTCTAAACCATTCCGTTCCAGCGCGGATAATTCCTTGGAGGAAAGGTTCATGACCCATTTATCTTTCAGAGATGAGCCTGAATTAACAGGAGACCTCTTACTGAGCAAGTGACGGAGTTTTCTGTCATGTTTCTCTCTGTGTTTTGTAAACGTCTGCAGTTCTTTCGAATTTCAAAACTCCTCGACCCAGGAAGTTTCGGAGTTGTTAATCAAAGCAGAGAGTTCACTGAGTGAACGAGAGAATAACGTACGCAACTGCAGTATGGAACTGTGACATTCATCTATTCGTAGCTTGAGAAAAGAAAAACCAGTACGGACCATGAGCTTGTATCCTTTAGCACTCCGTAAAGGAGGCCGAAATCTCAAACTCGATGGAAGCACATGGTTCTCTTTGCAACGGTGATTGAAATACAAATGACAGCGATACTTAGCAATTAGTGATCATATAAAAGGACCTCTTGTTGCAGCGTTTAGATCACCCCTGATGAAGGCACTAGACAGGAGTGTCGAAACGTTGGGTCTATGAATTGTAACTTCTTCGGTTACATTCATTAAATCTGCAAACCAGTGTAGCTTCAAACTATGTCTGATTGTCCACCTGGTTGCCGTGTGAACTTCAATATATTTTAATTTGCATATATTAATAAAATACCTCGGGGGAATATTCAAATTATGAATGCCACGTTGGGCCTACCCCTTTCAGCTCTACTCTAGGCCGCCGTTTAGATTGGATCCAGCTGCTTAGCTGGCACTCCAAAACCCGTTTCCTCGCTTCATGGCTGCACAAGTGCCTGCTCCTCCGGCGCCAAACCAAGTGCTTGATGTTGTAAATATCGCTCCAGCATCAGCAGTACCAGCTCCTGTATAACAATACTCATACTAAATAACAATACTCAGGGTAGAATATTATGCTATGTAGTGCGGTGCCGCGGAAAGGTAAAGTGCCCCAGCAAGAACATAATAGCAGAGCTCGCAGAACGTAACCCCATAATTATACAAAATAGTTGAAACCCATCAAGCCGAAAAAATTTGGATGTATGACCGTACGACCGTACAAAGTGCTACTTTTAACATGCGCCACGGCTTTGTTCAGTAGTCCAGTGGTCAGTGCACTGGGCTCCGAGTCGGACGACCCGGGTTCTAGTCCTGTGCCCTTGAGACGTGCGGGAAAAAAAAAATGCGAGCTCCGCTTTTAGGCTTGGCTATATATTATGCTGATATCTGAATAATCTAGATGTAGTACTGCTTTGAACGCAATTCTTATCAGAATAAGGTCGATTAAACTGGTTGGAAAAAGTCTTTATTGGAAGTAAACAACTCATAATTCAAGCGAAAGTGGTAACTTGACATTCGGTGATGCGCAGGCATAAGTTCTCCCCCACGGTGAATGTCAGGTCAGGCTGACGTGTGCTCCTTGAAGAAAACATGTTTTTATTCAGGAGAAGTAATTACTGCGGCGATATAGAGTATTTCAGTATGGTTGTATTAAATTCGGAAAGGGAAATTCATCTACACTCTCAAGAATCAACAGCGAAACATTCATGCTTTCAGAGAGCTTTAAACTTATCCTCTAAAAGGCGTACGGCTTCACGGTGGAAGGAGATTCAAACACTACCGTGTGCACTGTTCTGAATTTTTCAGTCGTTATCACTTTCGACGAATTGTTAGAGGATTCACGAGCTGTAGCGAAATTTGTTCTATCCTCTTGGTCATTGGTGTGAATCCACGGAATTTGACCGGTGTTTTAATTAGCGTTTTATGCGGCGGCAAACTTAGAATCTATTACAGTTTTACCCGCTTATTTGCCGTGCATGTTGGCGACCAGCATTTATACTTGACGAAAAAAAAAATTATCTGGTAATTGGTAGGAGAATGTTTAATGGAAATTTATCAATTGTACCTCTTTGCGGAACTCCCGATAACGAATTGAGTCATTCTCGCCGCCAGTAATATAAATTAATTTGTGTATAAGGGTCGCCATTTATTGACGACAGTGCAATATTTAGTTGGTAAGTACAAAACCTTTATCTTTTTTTATTTTTCTACGGGAAATAACTTTGAAATGTTTTCATGGTTCTTAGAAGAGTCCTTTCCGTCGGTTCTTGAAGCCTCCTGTAGTAATTATATTCAAAACCATGGTCAAGGACGATTGAGTTGTACCGCTCTTCGTCTCATTGCTTAAATTAAACCGTCACTCAACAGAATCGTTCACTGTGTTTACGTTTTCGTTTCATCGCAACTTACTATGCGTTCGGCGGGAAAGGTGAGCATGCCAGTGTTCTTGGTCATAGTTGCCGTACAGTGGCTGAAAAAGAAAATAGGGCAAAATGCTAGAAAAAGTCAGCTGATTTCAAGGCAAAGGGAAACCTAAAAGCAAAATTTAATGTATTGGGAGATCGATTGCAGCTGAGTTACGAGAACGTTTCACTGCCCCGGCATCTAGCCTTCCAGTTACTTTTTATTCCGTTCACGTAATGTGGGCAGATACAATAACGTTCGTAATTTGTGCTAGCATTGTATTATTATTATGTAGGGCATACTGGTGTAAGTAATAAATAATGGTAACAAGAATTTAAAACGATATCGTTTGTAGAAAGTACAGATATTGACATCGAGAAAATACTACACTATTTTCTGATGTTTAGTTTGCCGTGTGCTGCGCGTATTGTCTAGCGAACTATTTGTCACGATATAATTGTGCACATTAAACACAATTAGGTATTAAATTTCTCTGAGAAAGATAATGAGGCTCA